GAGGTCAGCATTAGGTCGGAAGAAAAAATTTGACACAAAAAGACTACCATAAAACATAGAAATGAGGTCGGCAATTTTTTGCTGACCTCAAACACATCCAGGTCAGCAGTTAGGTCGGCATTGCTAAATGCTGACCCTAATTCCGAAGGTTGGATATATATAGTAACTATTACCAAAATACAGTAACTATTGCAATTCTCTATGTAAAGCCAAAAAAAAAACAGTGACTTAGAAAAAGTTTTTCCCGTGCCGTGATTTAGTAAAAGTTTTTCCTTCTGTTGGAAAACATATTAGGCCTGAAAACAGTAATACATTTTGAATTTTTTTTGTTTGCACCTGACATTATGTTCTGCTATATTTACGAAATTATAAAATGATATAATTAATAACAGTTAATAATAAATTATTTAATTATATTAAGTAATATAACAAACATGTTATGTTTAATTTAACAATATATACAACATCTATACAATTTTAAATTTTTTTTTTTTTTTCAATATCTTTACTTCCAACAAGGCTGCAAGGAAACAACTATTAGAGTTAGTGGAAGAAAAAAGATGAAGTTTATAGAGCAAGATAACGATTAACAGACAACTTAAAAGATTGCAAATTATATGTATCAGGAAAACAAAATGAAACAAGAAAACAAAATGAAGGGAGTGAATTTTAAAGAACTGATGTTATAGGTAGAAAACTAGATGAATAAGAAATTTTAGAGCACTTAGAAACAGTCACAGTAAAAGGATGAAACTTAAATGAATGACAAGTAACACAAGAATGAATTTTAGTAGATGGCAGAAGTGACGCTAGCTCTTTAGAGCAGTGCTCATTAATAGTTGGAGATTGACTAAAAGAGCAGGTCCAACTATGTTTACAAATCATTTTTGCACCTTGTCTAAAACAAGAAAGGACATCATTGGAAGACCCGAACCAAATATGATAATAGTATTCCATACAAGGACGGATTTGAAATTTATAGAGATAAAAAAAAGAATCCTAAATAAGAAAGTGGCGAGCACAATAAAGATATGCAACCTTGAAAACTAATATTGATTTGATATATGATTTTTCAAAAAAGATCAGAAGTAAGGTTTAATCCTAAAAGATGAAGGGTAGATGACTCATCAAGTACATTACCATTCATAAGCATAGGAAGATCTAAATTATTGCAATAAAGATTAGCTTAAAAAAGTTCACCAGCCACTGAGAGCCCCATGCTGCAGCACAAGTTATATCCTTTTCAAGCTCAAATGCCTCCTCCAAGCAATCAGAGAGTGTTGGCTTCTTATCAAGACAAGAATAAATAATAGTATCATCAGCGGACAATGCCACCTTATATGTGAGAATTTCCAGATGATCGTTAATGTAAATTAAAAAGACTTAAGGACCAAGAATAGAACCTTGAGGAATCCCTGAAATTTGTACATTTGTACACATATAAAAAGAATTTCAATAAAAATTTTTATAGATATATGCATATTATACAGTATATACAAATTAAGTTATACAAAATTTGTAAACATATAATATAAATCACACATTTTAATGTCTTGACACATGTTCTGTCACAAATTTTTAACAATTTACACTTTTTTGTGAACATTTAATGTTGTAGAATTTGGAAAACAATTTTCAAACCATCTACATACTTAAAACATTTAATTTTTGAAAAAATACTACCTAGGGCAATATAAATAATCATTTAAGTATAACAAAAAATGCGTTTTAATTATGTATTGTATAATATAAATACATTTTTTTTTTAATTATTCACCTCCCCAAGGCCCGAGGGGGCCACTACAGTCGAGGAGGCTACTCATTTTTTTTTTTTATTTGTTGTATATTGTGGTACAACCCTCTTTCAACTCTTTAACTCCGAAACAGGAACCTTGACAAGCAAGGCCGTTGCGTGGAGAAATTAAGTTGAGCGCGGTACTTCCAGGGACGTGGTGAAAAGGTTCAGAGTCGAACTCTGAACCTCTAGCTTACAAAGCGAGCGCTCTCACCACTACACCACTACCACATTGAATATAACTTATAACATATAACTCATATACAATATAAATAGATATAAGTAAAACAATGATTGAGAACTTTATTCAGATTAAACAATAGAATTATTATTATTTAAAATTATTAAAAAAGGATAAATTTAAAGAACTAAGTATACCGACGCAGTTGACTTCGACATTTTGGTAGTGTGTGAGCGAGATCATCAACTTGAAGAAGGTCCTTTGACAAAAAGAAAAAATTGAAAATATATTTTAATAAATATATTTTGAAACCAAAAAAAAAAAAAAAAAAAAAAAAATCACACAATTAATAAACAACGCATCATCATTAAGCAAAAAAAAAAAAATTAAAAAAATTAGGGGATTTTCTTGAGTATCCGCATTATAAAAAAATTTATAATAGCAATTAAAATAAATAAAATTTAAAAATAATAATTAAAATTAAATAAAATTTAAAATAACATAGCATAATGCAATAAATGTAATAAAAGAGTAAAATAAAAAAAACAAAAAAATTATCATAATATGCCCAACAAAAAAAACAAACAAGTTCAACCTCTTTTTTAAGTGAAGCACTTGTATTTCTTTTGCTTGAAGCAGATCGAACTAAAGTAGGCTTTATTGGTATTTGTTGGTCATGATCTAAAAATATTATTTAAAATGCTGCTTATATAGTAATAGACATTAATAAAAGCAAGTAACTTAATTTAGTGTAAAACAACTCACAGTGGTTTCTGAGGCTTTAATAAATAAGTAGTAACTGACTAAAAAGTATTGACCAGAGATTTGACCCAGGTTAAAGGGATCCTAAACAGGGTGGCCAGACAATTTTTGATTTCATTTTCCCTGATTTTTCCCTTACTAAAATAAAATTTCCCTGACTTACCAATGTAAATTTAATAAATGTAGCAATAAAAAAGCAACAAATAAATTCAAACAACTTTACCCAAATAATAGAAACTTTTTGAAAAACTGTTTATTTTAAATTAATGAACATTAGTAAAAAAATAATTATGTATATATATATATATATATATATATATATATATATATATATATATATCCAAGATCAATCCCCACCACGTCCCTGGTAGTACCGCGCTCAATTCGTTTCTCCGCGCAGCGGCCTTGTTCATCAAGGTTCGTGTTTCGGAGTTATAGAGTTGAGAGAGGGTTATAGCGACAAAATAAGTAGCCTCCTCGTCTGTAGTGGCCTTCTCGGCCTTGAGGAGGTGAAGTAAAATAAAAAAATATATATATATATATATATATATATATATATATATATATATATATATATGTAGACTTGTCCATTCATCAAACATTAGACTGAATTTTCCACCTTTTTCTTTGTGATTTTATTTTAACAATAAATTCATTTTTTCCCATAGCACAATATTCACGAATTAGTTTCATCGCATTGTTTTTACCTTTTGGAAGATATTGTTTTTCATGAAATGCTTGACAAATGAACTCACTTTTGCATATTCTGTGAACTGAAAGTCTATCAACGGCCGCAAGTCTGGCCACTATCTCTGCCAAGGATTGTCTCTTAGAAAAAAATTATGTGAGAGACTTACTCGCTTTTGCAGAGATTTTCTCACAGTTACTTGAACCAGCAATTTAATCATCATTTAAGTTTCTTTTCTTGGTATTTATATTATAAACATGTTGCAAATGTCTTATTAATCTGCTGGTTAACGAGCTCTTACAACCTAATAATTTATATGGACATTTCAAACACTTGGCTTGTTTGCCTGCTTTTTCCAGAGCTGTCAACCAACTCGAACTCGAGTCTGACTTAAGTCACACCAGTGACTCGACTCGAGACTCGACTTTTGCCCTGAGACATGCGACATGACTCGAGACTTGCTAATTTCAGCTTAGCGACTTTAAAATTATTATTTTCCGTTTCTTTAAAAATGGAGCAATTTATTTTCTATTTTAATTCAACTGTTTTTTTAACTATTTTTTATTTTCTAATGTGTTTTTCTTTTAACTTCATTTAACTGGTTTGTAGTCTAAGCAAAACCTGAAGAAAAATATTGCATTTAGGCTCTTTCATTTTCAAAAAATTCCAACTTTTTTGTGTGTGTTCTGATTGGTTCATTTTTTCTTTAACTCATGAAACTTATTGTTTATAAATGTTCGAGGATTTAAATTTTTTTATTTAAATTCTTTCTTTTTCTTTCCTTAACAATCTTCATTTTTCTTTTATTTATTTTTACTTTCAAAATTATCTTTTATTATTATTATTTTTTCATGTAATTTATTTATAAAATTCATTATAAAAAAGCGTCCACCATTCCGGAAGTCTTTGCACTGGTGTTTTAATTTTAAGTATTTAAAATTATGCTTGTTACTAATTTCGGCGATTTGTAAAGTTTCATAAGTTATCTTAAAACTATGAGTGCTATAAAAATTCAAAAAACACCTGCAGTGCCTGGAATAGTTAATTTTGGTTATACTGAGTTAGAGAAAAAAAAAGAAAAAACTAGATCGACACGATGTAAGTTTTGTCAAGCTTTAATGACCAATGGAGTCAACTTTCGAGCTGGTTATTTACTTATACTAATTTTATTTTATTAGATATTTAAAATATAATAAACCCTCGAGTCCGTTCTATGTCCGTGGTAATCTTCTAACTATAGTAGACTAGTAGTCTACTAGGTCTGACAATCCATAACAGTTCTTATATTTCTTATTAGCTTGTATGGCAATATGTTGCAGTGTCGCATTACATTTGACCACTTAACCCTAAGCTTTTAAATAAAGCTTTAAACTTAGCTTATAAAGCATGGTGTTAAGGATTATTACTTTATAGAATAAAAAATGAGAATGACATTGCATTTATTATTTGCAGTTGCTTTGGGAGAGAGTTTTATGACATTGGCCACATTTTACGGCCGCACCCATCCCAAGCAACGAAGAATTTTGGCAGTCGTTGTGAAACATCTAGTAGTTGGTCCATCACTACCGGTGTCTATAGTAGAAAGTGAACATTTTAGGCGATACAATAATGTTCTTGATCCTTAGCGCTCAACTATTAGCTGTTTTGCCATAAAAACCTATTTAGAGAAAACGTATACGGATGCAAAGGAAAAATTACCTGAGAATTTATGTCAAGCTACAAGCATTTCCCTAACACTTGATATTTGGTCAGATAGAAAAATGAGGGGTTGACTTGGTGTAACAGCGCATTACGTACATAACTATCACTGCCACACACGACTGTTGGCATGCGATAGATTCTTAGGTGCTCATACTGGAGATAACATAGAAGAACATTTTGAATCCATTTGTAAAGCATACAAAATTCTCCATAAAGTTATGTATGTTGTGACGGACAATGCCGCAAACATTTTTTCAGAAGATCCTGAAGGTGGCGGTGATACATCTGCAGAAGAACTTCACATGGACGTAGAAAATGAAGAACTTTGGGAACATATTATTGCACTGGACGAAATAATCCAAAATATTAATCAGCTTAACCCAAGAAGAGAGGTTCCAAAACTAAGTTGTTTTGCTCACACCCTACAATAAGTTGTTGATGATGGTCTCAAAGAGGCAAAAATTTACTCTGCTCAAGCTAAAGCATCCAAAATATGTACTTTCCTTCAAATGAAATGTGGAATTCCATCAAAAAGATAGAACTCCACATTCCATCACATAAAAAGCATTGTCACTTTAGATGAAAAGAAATTGAAAAACCTACTTGATGATTTAAGTCACCGCAATCTAATACTAAATGAAAGAGAATACGTGCAACTTAGAAAGCTTGTTGATTTATTGCAACCATTTCTTGAAGCCACCGATATGACTCAAGGTAAAAAAATATAACAATTTCATTAGTAGTTCCCTCTATCGTTGGGTTATATAGTCACTTAGAACAATTTAATACAATTTATCTGTCCGGTATGAAACACGTACTGCAAAACAATCTTCAAAAAAGATTTTCTGGTATATTTGCAAATGTTGACCTTTTTCCGTAAGAAACTACTATTTAATGACTTGATATATGTTATTGGCACAGTTTTGGATCCCAACTTTTCTTTCTTTTGTACTGAGAAGCTATGTCATGTCAATCCAGGCCAAACAGACAACTTAAAGACAAATATTTTTTCAAAAAATTGTCAGTTCTGCAACAAGCATCCAATTCCAATACCCTAGAAATAGATTGACTCCAATTTTGGAAAATGCATGGGCAAAAATTACCAATTCTCCAAAGTGCTACCAAGTATGCTTTTGTGGTACCTGTGAGCAGTGCTCCTCTTGAAAGGGTATTCAGTCAGGGTGACCTGATTATGAACCCTAAGCGTGCAAGTTTAAATTCTGACAATGTTTGTCAGTTAGTATTTTTAAAATGTAACACGGATATATTACTATAATTTTTTAAGAAAATCAGCATTTGAAGTGTTTTTTTCGAAAGAATGATAGAATAAAAACATTAGTAAATAGGCTAAATAGCTTATAAAGTGTTATGTCACTGTATTGTGTATTAACACTCCTTAACCATTATATTACAGATGGTTTATTTTACTTTTAAAGCTACTTTAGCAAATAAAAGTAAAATTATAATTATTATCATGATGTATTTTATAATTGTAAGTTGACTGTTTGAATGTAGTTACCAGAGCCATGGCAAGGTTCCCCCATGCCCCTCTTGTAAGAGGAAGTTTGTGGTTTTTATGACAGTTTTTGAAAGGGGCCTCCAAACTCCTAGCCTCGTCACTGATAGCCACCACATGCACAGGAATCTTTTATTGTAATATGAATTGACTTGAGACTTGAATTGACATGTCACTATATGACTTGAGACTTGACCTCAGTGACTTGAGACTCGTTCCAAAGTGACTTGAAAACAGCTCTTATGTATGTATATGTATATGTATATGCATATATATATATATATATATATATATATATATATATATATATATATATATATATATATATATATATATATATATATATATATATATATATATATATATATATATATATATACAAAGCTTAATTTAATTTTTCACAAAGTCCTGGACAAAATGTCCGGTCAAAACTTGTTTGGGTCGGACAGTGTCCGATCAAATTTTTTAAATATAATTATGCAGTTTTACGGAACCAAGTTAAGCAATCGAAATCTTTGTCATGTTATTAAGTTTTTTAAGGTTAGTTATTTTAAATATTTTATCGCAGATTTTTGCTTTTTTTTTTTATAAAATAGTTTTAAATATAATAATAATTTAATATTGTATGTTTTTTAAAATAGACTTGAACTTGCATGCTGCAACTGACAACCCTTTTATTTTTTTAATTCTTTACAATTTGAAAACGACTTTTTTGATGTTTTAACTATTCAAATGCGATTAAAAAAGAAATCGTTATGTTACAAATAACTTTTAATCGTTGATTTTTTTTAAAGTTTTTATTTTACGCGAAGGCATAAAATAAAAACTTTAGAAAACTTAAAATAAATTTAAAACTTTTTAAAACTTTAAATAAAATCAAAAATTATAACTCAAAATAAACACATTGTATAAATTAAATGTTATGTTTCATTTTTTTAGTAGGCATGTATTTTTTATGATAAATTTAAATGTTTGAAACTATTTTTAAAATAGTTTCAAACATTTAAATTTATC